TTCCTTCCCCTTCACCGTTCTGGCTGCCCCCATGGTTACACGCCAGCCCCCTGGGCGATGGGAGGGGAACGCGTGCGGTAGCGTTTCAGGACACGTTCCTCTGCCGCATGCACGAAAAAGTACAAATAAAGCGGATTATGCCACGCTCATGCCTGGCGTCGCCGCCCTCAGTCCAGCGGACGGTGCCGGTCGCCGCGGGGATGTGGCGCAAGAACGGAGGGGAGGGGCGAGGCGAGGAGGGTTTGGCGAGACCTTTGGCTAGGCCTGGGGTTGCCAACGATCCAGGAAGTCGAATATTGCACCAGCCTCTGTCTGTCTGTCCGTAACGCTTTAGTTGCGCTCCGATTGGCTGACAAACAGCCAATCAGCGTGCGAAGAAGCATTCCGACAAGTGGCAGCACACTGCTGTGATGACGGGGACGCAGGTAGCCTTCCCCTCCCCCCGCACTGCTCCTTGGCGATGACAGCGGCCCCGCGGAGGGCGGGAAGCAAGGCCCCTGGCACTGGCCTCAGCCTGCCCCTCCCCCCTTCCCGTGTCACCGCCTGCAGGCCCGACTCGGCAGTGGTGGGGGGAGGAGCGAGCCCAATACAAGGGGGGGAGGAGGAGGAGGAGGAGGTGGAGGTGGCAGGGGGAGGGGAGGAGTGGGCCTGAACCCGACGGGGGAGGGAGAGAAGCCAGCCCAACATGGGGTGGGGGTCAGGGAAGGAGTGAGCCCGACTGGGGAGAAAAGCCAGCCCGCTGCCACAGTGGCCTGGTTCAATGTGGCAGTGATTGGGAGAGGGAAGGAGTGAGTCTCCTCCCCTCCTCGGGCCCAAGCCCACTCTCCCGTGTCAGCCCTGAGCCCGCTCCTCCCACCCCCAGCAGCCACCAGGTCGGCCCGGGCCCGATGCTCCACCTCCCCGCACTGGCCCAGCTTCTCCCCACCCTCGGGCCCAGTCTTCTCCCGCATCAGGCCTGGGCCTGCTCCTCCCCGCCCCCCACCGCTGCAGCGGGGAGCAGGCCTGGACCCCAAGCAGCAGGAGGGCAGTGGGGAGTGGGCCCGGACGGGGCGGGGGACACGGGGCTCCATCCCTGCCCGCTCCCCCCCCCCCCCCCCCAATCATTCTTGACAGGCAATGGGCTAGTTAAAAATAAATCTCCAGTAGACTGCCAAGAGTGACCTCGGAGATAAATGATAGGGCATTCATTACATTAAATATGAAATGTTGAATCCCATTTATACAGTAGTCCAGTAGGTTTGGTTTTTTTAAAATGTAATAGTCATGTGCGTTTGCCTTCTTGAGGTCAAGTCATTAATGTCATCACAGCATGCGATGAAACCTCCTGGCATAGATTCAAACACAGTTGGCGACCCCAGTTAGGCCAGCTAGGCAGATGGGAGCGAGATCAGAGATGTTTCCAGACACAGGTAGTCCTTCCTGGGGTAGGCAATCTGTGCCCAAAAACTTGTCTGACATCTCTCCCATCTACACAGACCAAAGAACCAAAGAAGTCCTTGCCTGAGGAAGTGTGAATGACACCGTTCAAAATTTTCTCTGGTCTGCACTGGCTGGGGGTAGCATAACTGCGGGGGTGGAAACCAGGGCAGCAGCCTCAGCCACCCCCTTTGCGGGTGGAGGGACAATACTACACCGGCACTACCCTGTGAAGCACAGCTGCCCCAGGTGTAGCGCTGCCCCGACACACTTCTAGTGTCAGGATAAGTTTGCTAAAAGGAGATGAGCAAACCAGCTCTCCCACCACCGAGCAGCAGGGTACAGGAAGACCATCGACTGTGTGATACCCCAGGACAGCTGCATGATCCTGATCCCTCGGTGATTTACACTGGTATACAAAACTGATGTAGGTTACACTGGGATGGCGTACTCCTCCATCTGTGCCCCGAGACTACAAAAATGTATTTCACTTGGGCCGTGAAGCCAGCAGCGAGAGAAGGGGCTACAGCCTAAACCGTCCACTATCTCTATTCTGTTCATTAGTTAGTATTTGCAAAGTAAATGCTCCTTTAGCTATAATCAGTTGCTTCTTTCTTGCCCTATGCAGTTTCACACATCAACACCAATAAGACTTTTCATTTACACAGAATTAATGGCACTCTGGTTTCTCATGAACTGGATGCTGTTGAAGGACAATGACACTTGAAAGTCTGGAAGCCATGGGCAGTTTAAATACACTCAACAGTGCACTCCTGAGCAGTCTTACCCCGCTCCAACGCAACGCTTTTGCAGACAGCATAGGCCACGCAGGCAGGAGGATGCGTCATGGCAGTATAGCGTAAGACCTCTTTACCAGGACTAAACACGTTTAGGTAAGCTGTTCAAACAGCTTCGTCCCCAGAAATAACCCCACTCCCACTGAATTTTACAATCTTTTCCCTCTCACCCACAGGTTTCCATCTAATTTTGTATTTTTAGTGAGGGAAACAAATAAACAAATCTTATGTCCCAAAATCTCAACACTTACTTGTGTTGGCTATGTGTGAGGGTAGAGAAGCAGACTGCTAACTCCCTCCTCCCTCATTCCTCATAATCTTAGTCTCCTGTGCCACTATTTCTGGTTCAACACCCCCTTCCTAGCCATTAAACCAGGGGTGTCAAAGTCATTCGGCCCCACGGGCTGGATGAGTTGAGTGGGGCTGGTCTGCAGGCCAGATCTGGAGTGAAGAGCTTTACATCTGCCCTCCGGGGTCAGACATGTGGTAGCGGCAGTGGTAAACGCTGCTCCTCCCACCACCACATTTCTGACCCTGCAGAGAGCCCCTCTAGCCTCACTAGTGTCTAACACATCATTGGTTGTACAGTCAAACTGTACGTTGTGCCTGATCCTCCCACCTGTTTCCCCACACGTCCTTGGGCGTGGTGCACACAGTCCGGCCCTTTCCAACGCACCGTCACTTGTTCATTTCCTCCAGGCAGGAGAGGAACATACTTTAAACCTCTGAAACCAGGAAATGCAAGATTCCATATGCAACGCTTTCAGGGCTATCCTTCGATCCAGATCGACACAGGGAAGTAGGGAGAAGGGCTGGTGTACCTCCAAGAGGGGCAGCTCCCCACAAACAGGTACACAGGAGGAAAGAATTCGGGGTAGATACAGCTCTCTCTCTCTCTCCCTTATCTCTGGGACCTCCCCTGCCCACCTCCCAGGTCCCTCCACCTCCCATAACTGATCGGACAGGTCAATCTTTAGGTTGCATACTTTGTTATTCCTGTGAAAACAAGGAATATATTAAATATATATGGGGGGGGAGGGAGGGAAACATTACTTTAGAACCAATTTCCTTGAAGCATCAATTTAGAGGGCAAACCCTCAAGTGCTCTCCACAAACCATAAAAACAACTAGAGTTATTTATGGGTATTCTGGAAGCCAGGTTACTACTCTGGAGAGAGAACAAAATTGTAATGCAGCCCTTCTGTCAAGAGGAAAAACGTGTGTTCGTAGCAGAGAGCAACTTATATTTCATGGTAGAAGCACAGACTCTGTCACCATTTCCCACAATGGACTTTCAACACTTGGAGTCAACTTAACTAGTGTAAGAGGTAAAATTGTTTGCACCATGTTTTTTGTTTAAATACACTCCATCATTTTAAGCTGCTGCCAAATTTCACTTCTTTCACTGCCCACATCCAGATTTGTGGAGAAGAGTGAAGCCATCTAGATCAGAGGTGGGCAAAATGCAGCACAGGGCCCAGATGCGACCCGCCAGGCCATTCTATCTGGGCCCGTGGGACCCCTAAAAAGTGTAGAAAATTAATATTAATCTGCCCTGGGCTGCCTGTCACGCGGCCCTCGATGGCTTGCCGAAACTCAGTATGCGACCCTCTGCCCAGAATAATTGCCTGCCCCTGATCTAGATACTTAGAGTACAAAACACACATACTGTACAATACAATAATACCACTAAAACAAGAGACATTTCATTTGAGCTACAACTGAACGGTTAGAGAACGTAGAGGGTATGTTAGCTTCACGGCATTGAAAAATGTAAGTGGTGTTGCAAAAGCCATCCCCCCAGAGCAGGGTAGGCAGCAGAGAGATTCCCTTTATGAACAGTACCAACCAGTGACATGCCTCTTTTTTAGTCACTTAATACACAGATATGGAAACTTCATCACCTGGCTAGGAAAGTAGAACTAAGGACCAATTCTCAAAATAAAGGAAATTTGAACTACTGTACAGTTTGCTTCCATCACTTGTATTTTGTCAAGCGCCAGTGTGCTGTGTAACCTATTTCATTCAATACAATTTTAAAAGTCAGAAGTAACATAAGGAGGGGGGGGAAAAAAGAGAATCTTTTTTACAATTAAACAGCTTTATGTAAAATTCACACTCCACGCACAATGCGATTGACACAGGGCCTTGCATACAATGTTGGCCAACAGTTTGCACTGTGATGCCTTGGGAATAAGTCATTGCACAATACTAACCAAGTATTTACAGGAAACGGCAAAGAAAAACAGCCTGTTATAAGTAAGGTGACCAAACACCTGGGCCCTTCTGTTAGGATTTGCAGTCCCAAGTGCTGAGAAGGGCTGTCTTGTTTCATCTTTCTTGCTGAGTGGAACTGGGGAGACCCCTCATTTCCTCACTTCTTTAAAGAACAAAGAAGACTTCCTCAATTTCAAAATGTAAAAACTCAGCGTATCTGCTTCACATTTCCCATCTCTTCCCTTTCCTGCTTACTTCCGTTGCTCTGCTCCAGCAGTTAGTTCCACTTCTCCTCTTCTCCCAATGCAAAGAGGGGGATAGTGTTGATCCTAACTTTGTTGATGGAGCCTGGAGGAGTCAGGGGAGGCCAACAGCTGCAAGAAACAACAGTCTGGTTCTAGAGACACAAAGAGCACAGCTTGATGGCAACAGGAAAAGGAGTTTTGAAGACTTGGGATTGAAGAGAGCTTAACAGGACATTCTGGTCGCCTTAGTTATAGCATCATTTTAATGTGTGCATGCATGAATTTTTGTATGAAGCTGCAAGAGTGTTGAATGCCACAATCACAAACAGTTCTATTCAAACACCATGTTGGTAAACAGTCCTATAAACAGCAATCGCAGAGATGAAGTGACCGTCTGTCCCAGAAGTCAAGTCACACAACAAGATATTCCTCAATGTCTGGTGCTGATGTACATTCCAACCTGTATATGTTCCACCTCTTTGTAGCCTGCAGAAATCCTATAGGTATGACCAGCTCAAGCAGTGATCCTAGCTCCTCTTACATGTTGCATACTGCAGTTGCATTAAAGTTGACATTCACCAATGGTTACCACATGTGGTATTGAGTACCACAACTGCTGGTAAATAACTTTAATGGTGACCGCTATAGTACAAGTTACTCCAACTACACACACGTCAAAGGATTATTACAGAGAGGATAGTTTACACACCGATACCAGCAGCCTTCAGTTTGGTTTGGCTTGCTGCTGCTTTCTACATGGGGGTGGCCTTCCATGGCGCATAATATGTTTTTCTAAACTATCTAAAATGGCAATGGCAATTCGCTGGACATCTGGATCAGTCTGAATGTTTTCCTTGATGTTGTACAAGTGCTGCAATCCTCCTTCTTCAATTAACATGCTGCAGTACCTGGCAGCTGAAATGAGAGGGGTGGGAGGAAGGGAGAGAGAGTTACTTCTGGCTCTTTTTAGACACTAGTTACATGCAGGCTCTAATTCAATTCTGTTTCTACCTATTTCAGCCCTTCAGGACATTTGCAAGGGCACATACCAAGAAAAAAGCCATATCAGAATTTTACTGTCCACCAATAGAGTGAGGGAGAGACTTTTCTAGTTACAATACCTGACAGGGGCTCACATCTTCATGGTCCATTCCTAACTTTATCAGTGTCTTTTTGAGGCACCTGCAAAATGTGGATACTGACCCTGTCCCACAGCTGTTACATTTGTTAATGTTTCCATGCTCAGGGGCGTAGGTGATCGAAAACTGCCAAGTATGTAGAAAGCAGTTGCTGTTATTAGCACCTGTCATAAGCAACAGATACCAAAAGTGGAATCTGAGGCACCACAGCACTTATACTGCCTCATACCACAAACAGGAAATAAAAATCTTCAAAATAATTGTACTAGCCACTGATGCCTGCAGTTAAAATGACACGAGATGCTACAAATGCACTTGCAAGTATTCAGTTCATCTGTACTACTGCAACTAGCCCACGGGCTGTATTTTTCCCCCACTCCTGACTTATAAGCATACTGGATAAGTGCATAGTTCACCTAACTGCATAACAAGACACTGGTCCCAATGGGTTTTTTTATTGCTTCTATATCAACAAGCTCCAGGTATCTACATATCAGTTATCTGCACAGTTCTTGGGCCACTGTCTTCACCATAACATAATTTGACTCTGTTTAACTACATATTTGGTAACAGCAATGAGGCACTGGCAAATTCCACGCTGCTATCAGAGGCATAAGATGCTCTAAGAAACAAGCCTTAATGAGTTGGAAAAAAACTTAGTGCAGGCTGTTCCTACAGTTAATTAGCATTGTTCATATTGACTTAGGGTAGGTGTACAGATTCTCTCAGTCCCAAGAACAGGCATTTGCAGAAAGCGCACTGTATATATTACACTGTATGCTCAATTACACTGGGACACAGTCTGGCTGGGAATCAGCACCATTTAGAGAACAAGGCTCTATAGCTTTCAAGTTTTTAAAGAAAGTTTTCAAAACAGGTGTCTAATGTAATTTGGGGAACAGTATCTGCCTACAAATGACAGTCCTGGTGTAAGTTGTCCCCTTCTATCTCAGTGAAGCCGTACTGAGGTTGACAATTTAAGTACTGACTTCAGATTTTTCCCAGGTGATGACATTTAGCAGAATGAAACTAATACTAACACACTCCATTGTCAAAATAGGATGTTGTTGTGGATAATGGAGCAGGCTGGTGGGAGACCACTAGCTGCTGTAAAGAATTGCCTGCATGGGAAATAAAGAACGTAGATAGACTCATCTTAAATTCTCTCTCTCTGTCCAAAGAGAGTTAGGGAGGAGCTATGTCCTCCTTCACTGCACACACACACAAAAAAAAAAAAAGCTTCCTGGATATTTGCCAAAGAACTCCCAACCCAACCTTCATACCTTTTCCTTTAAAGCAATCTCTAAAAACCAAGGGCTTGGAAGATTTCCCCAACAGCATGCTATTATTTCATACCTGCCTACTGCTAGTTTTCCCAACAGCAACTTTTAGGAGTGCTTGCCACAGGTCATTGTCAGAGATTAATCTTTGAGTTCTCAAAGTCAGAGTAACAGGATACAACTGGTCTCAACCTGAACAGCAATTTCCATGTAACCCAGCAGCAAAATTTCTTT